CGCCAGTAAACCGAATACACTACTCACATTCTAGTTAGTAGTAATTTGTTTCAGAGTTGCAACCACCCTGTGAGGCGAGTCGGTCTTGACTGGGTTCTACTTCGACGGATAGCATGCAAAGATGACAAGAGGTGGCTGTGAGGGGTGCGTGCAGAGGAGGAAGCACCGTGGAGCCTTCAACAAAATCAAATGTGAACGCCGTTGAGTAGGGCGCGATTGCGCGACAGAAGCCTCTACGACTTGTCCTCTGATTCGTCTAAAAGCGCCAGGAACCTGATGGATAAATGAGACTTTGTAAACCGTTCAGTGAAGAGGACCTTTGCTCATATCTGGACCCACGGGTTGATCTGACCAGTCGAAAATTTCGCCTTATCCCCCAATTTGGATTGGTCGTGGTCGTCTGTTTCATTCTTATCTGAGTCTAACCGAGTCTCACGAATAATGGAGCTGCTGACGACACCGAGGTCGGCTATAAACCCAAAGCTCGACCCATCCACCTATTGCGCCATTTCAGGTCTTGATTTATGCCCCATTGCGACCAATTCGCGCAACTTAGAAGAACTCCCTTGAGCATGCAGTCTTTAGTCTGTCCTTGGAAAATTGTATGACATAAGGGTGGAAATAATCGTGATCTTGACACTTAAATCTGCCCATATTTGTTGTGATGACCTTTTCGCAGAGATATGTGCAACCTGTTCAAGACCAAAAACCACTCATATCTCCTGCACAGAGCGACTACAGACTGGCCGGTGGGCATTCAATAGTCGGGCTAGCGGACATGAAGACGTGTCCAGCCGGTTAAGGTAAACAGATGGTACAGTACTTTTCCCAAAAGCTTGAATTGCAGATGTGTGCCAACCCCTGGTCTGGTACAGTTGTTCCTACCTGTGTCTACCTGCACAGAAGCAAAGAGAAGGCCAAGGAAGCTTTCAAAAAGGAAATTAGAAACATATGAGGGAGTAAAAGGGAGAGAGATGGAATAAAAATAAAAATGGAAAAGTGACGACATCGCTTCGAGATGAGGAAAGAGAGGCAAGAAAACACAATTTGGGGTATCCCCGAATCCCATCTGCTTCCATATTTTGCAAGACAAACAGTGCAAAAGGAACTCTCGCAGCAACCATGGTTTCGGCCGAGGGTGGCCTCATGCAAAACTATTTGAGCAAGTCCATTTT